GGATTGATTCCTCCTCCCCTTGAGCCTGTTTGACTCTGCGTGCTGATGGGACTGTATTTGTATGAGTATCACGGACACACAGACGAGTGTTACGGTTAATGACAGTTTCCCCCCCCTGTCATTGACACAACAGGCAGGCAGGCAGGCACGCACGATCAGCTGCCACACACTCACTCACACGCACTCTCCTTCCTTCCCGTACGTACGTACATAATAAGTACCGCCCCTACATTGTAGCTATACTACTCAATCAGTGGGCGGACATCGATTCGACTCACCACCCCACACGAAGCAGCCAAGTATTCTTCGCCCGGATAGACAGACAACACATACGACATAGGAGGGAGGGGTGAAAGGGGGACGACTGTAGGAGACGTTCGTTGCGATGTCTCTGCTCATTCGTTCTCCACTCAGACACACACACACACAGAGAGAGAGAGAGAGAGACAGAGAGAGAGAGAGAGAGATGGCCGCTCTTGGTGACACTCACTCACATGCGTGCACCTGCCAAGCTCACACCACCCACCACAGATCCATCCATCCAAAACTTCACTTCACTTCGCTTCTTTCTTTTGTCCATCCATCCATCGATTCAAAACGGCCAGCCACAGGCAGAGAGCAAGGCATGCAGGCAGCAAAAGACGGGAAATAAACCTTTCCGTCAACCGACACGCGGGCAGACAGACAGGCAGGGAGGGAGACAGCAAGGAGGGCACACTGACATCATCGCTGTGTGTGGATGAACGGCAAAGAAACGAATTATCCCATCACTCTCTCAAACGGCTCGCAACGGCAAAACTCGGCAACCACCCACCTTACCCTTTAAAACGCCCCACCCCACCCCCCCTCCCTCCCAGCAAGGAAACCATCGAAAAAGTGTCTGCCCTCTGAGGTGTGTGTGCATGCATGTGAAGAGCGGTGCGAGGGTGGAAGTGGATGGATGGGCGTAGGGTATGTGTGTGGTGTGGGCTGGGGTGCAGACGTACCGATAGGTAAAATGACAGTCAGGCCAGAGCAGGTCGGTCACAGTGTGTGTATGTATGTGTGTTTACGATACGTACCTACCGATGTCAGGGTCAATGATCAAAAATAGGTCTCACAGACGGACGTAGGTAGCGTAGCAAGCGGGTGGGTGTGTAGGTACTTAGACAAGATATAAACACCAGGAGAAAGCGAGAACGCCACGCCCGACAGTTCGTTGCACTTCATACCGCCACTGCTGATGAATGGAATGGTGGTACGGATGGTGCGGGTCAGATGGTGCGTGAATGATCAAGAGCTTGAAGATGTCGCCAGAGGACCAGGAGTTGTGGGCCGCAGCCGACTGCAAGGAGTGGGACTCATTCGCCAAGCACAACACGTACAAGTGGGTGCTGGAGAATGAATCCCACTTCTTGCGGTCGGCTGCGGCCCACAACAAACAGGTCAGTCAGCCATCTGGCAAGCCGCTTACACACAGACTTACACACACATCCATACGCCATCACATCACGCGCTCGCACTACCGCCCGCCGCCCGGGCCCCACCGACAAAAAGGTTGGCTGGCGCAAACAAAATACATCGCCTGCCAGCGTCGAGAGAGCTGGCTGGCAGTCGGCAACGCAGCTGGCAAGAGACACGAACACCTTTCCCTCTGACCCCTCCCTCCCTAAGTGTGTGGGACGGTGGGCCTAGCTTCTCTTGAACATGGAGAGCATCCGCTGGGTGACCGCGAAACCGCCGGCAACGTTCATCGACGCAACCTGCACACAAAACAAGAAACCGAGCATAGGGTGGATGGATGGATGGATGGATGGGCATAAGTCACGTGTCTCCGTGGGTAGGTAGGTACCGCAATCGCGATGGCGTTGAGGATGATTGCGGTGTCGCCCCTCTTTTCGCAGAACCAGGCATCGACATTGTCGCCGTTGCACTCGTCCTGGAGGGGCATGTACTTGTACTCGCTGATGCCCAGCATGCCGCCCAGCACCACAATACCGCTGATAGCGTTGGACACCGACATCAATCTGACCACACACACACATACAGCAGGGAGCGAGGGAGGGAGAGAGGGTATGTGTGTGTCTGTGTATGCGTGTCTCAATGGGTGAGTTGCGTTTCGTTTCGTACGGTGTGTGGAGTGCGGGTGCGACGTTCCAGATGAGCATGTAGCCCACCCAGCAGGCCAACACAAACACCATCAGCTGCGGCACAAAGGTTTGCGGGCCGAACTGAGAAGAAAAGACACCCGTACATAGTAAATGCAGCCAACCGTCATCAAACAGGCCAGTCGTCTGTGTGCTCTCTGTGTGAGTGCCCACCGCGGCGAACACGCCGATGAACACAGCAATGGCTAAAAGAGAAATGGCCGACCTGACCACAGAAACCACACACACACAGTGGTCGAGTAGAGGACGTGACTCGTGTGTTGTGGCTTGGCTGCTTGCACACCCACCCGACGGTAATGGGTCCGAGGATGTGTGTCGACATGCGCTTGGCGAACTTGGCGCTCACAGTCTCGATCTCCGCCTTGGGCTGGGGCATTGCCGGGCCGCCGGCCTTGGCCGCCTGTGGCGGGGGGCCGGCGGGCTTGGGGGGCGGCCAGGTGACAGTCCCCTCGTGTGCGACCGTGATGCCGCGGATGATGTCGTCCTCCTGGTTGAGCTTGAACTCCTTGCCGCCGCCGCAGTGGTGCATCAGGTGGTAGACGTTGTTGGCGAACATGACGGACGCCTGGGAGGCCATGCGGCTGGTCAGGTCGGTGTCGCCGCAGATGGTCACGCTGCCGCCACGGGGGGTGGTGTAGACGTAGGTCTCGCCCGGACGGGTGACCTTGCAGTTGCCGCCGGTGAGGGCCGCAAGGTCGATGATGACGCTGCCCGACTTCATCGCGTCGACGTGGTACTGGTCGATCAGGATGGGAGCCTTGCGGCCGGGGATGGCCGCCTGTGTGTGCATGTCACAGGGAGAGGGATATCTTTTGTGGAGGGGTTCTCTGTGTGTGTGTGGTTGGTTGACGTACGGTAGTGATGATGATGTCGCACTCCTTGGCCTGCTCCAGGAAGAGCTCCATCTCCTTCTCAATGAACTCGGGACTCATCGGCTGCGTATACACACACACACACACACACACATATGGGGTCAATGTCTGTCTGGAGGTGCCTTGGTGTGCCGTGTGTGTGTATGCCTGCCTACCTTAGCATAGCCGCCCTCTCCGGTTCCGTCTTCCTTGAAGTCCATGACGAGGAACCGGCCACCCATCGACTCGACCTGGTCCTTGCACTCAAGGCGAGTGTCAAACGCACGAACGTCAGCTGACACACAGACACATAGACACACAGGCAGGGAGGCAGCCAAGCGTATGTGTGCACATGATTCCATCCCCCTGTTGCCTTGTTGTTTCCCACCTCCCAGGTTGTGTGCGGCCCCGATGGCCTGCAGCCCCGCCACGCCCGCACCTATCACCAACACCTTAGCGGGCGGGAACTTGCCCTGCAGAGCAGACAGAGACGACACACACAGATGGACGTGTGTTGCGTTGATGACTGCGTGTGTGGCAGGCATGTTTGCTGTATGTCCCGATGCCTCACCGCTGCTGTGATCTCGCCAGAAAAGAAACGCCTAACACGCAGAGAGAGAGAGAGAGAGAGAGGGAGGTAGGCAGGCAGAAAGGACACGTGCCGGTTTGTGTGAGTTGGTCTGTGAAGGCAGCGCGTTCGTTGATGCTTACTGGAAGTGGTAGGCCGCCTCGATGATGGCACGGTAGCTGATAGATACCACAGACGACAACACACACGAACGCGTTTATGTGCGGTGTGGTGTGGTGTGGTGGGTGGATGGGCGTAGGTACGTACCCTGCAATTTTGGCGGTGCTGCTGAGAACGTCCATTTTCTGTGCGGTGGTGATGCGCGGCACCGCATCCATCGCCAGCAACGTCACACCCCTCTCGGCCGCCTTGCTGTTGTCACACACACACACACACACACAAACACGTCACACACACTCAGGGGCTCTGTGATGCGCAGAATGTGTACCTGAGCAGGTCTTGGTTCTGTGCGGGCTGGACCCATCCGATGAGCACCTGACCCGCACTCATCGACTCGACGTCCTCGACAGTGGGCGTCGTGATCTGAGAGGCAGGCAGGCAGGCAGCCCACAGACACACACACATGGATGGATGGGGTGTCTTGTGTTGTGTGTCTCTTCTGTGGGTGTCAGTCAGTCACTCATCTGCCTCTGCTGCTCGGTGGGGTGCGTCACCTCACTCACCTTGACGATGACTTTGGACTCGGCAATGAGTGTCGCTCGGTCAACCACGCGGGCCCCACACACTTCGTACGCCGCATCAGAGATACTCGCACCGGCACTGCCACACACACGGAGTGGGGGACGCACGTGTAGGTGTCTCTCTCTCCCTCTCCCGGCTGTGTGGGTGTGCGGACGATTAATGGGTCACACACCCAGCGCCTCTCTCGACGAGTGTTTCGATGCCGAGTTTCTCGAGCATCTTCTCCGCGACAGTGTTGTCGATCGCCACACGCTTCTCCTTGACGTCGCCCGTCTCCCTGTAACATTAGAGAGAGACACACAGACAGGTGGTCAGTCAATTCTTCTCCTCTCCGTGTGTGTGTGTGTGTATGTTCGTGTGTCGATTATACTTGAGTACTCCGACTTTGAGGAAGGTCTCAGGGCGGACCCGCTTGGTCGCCGCCTCACTCTCGCCCTTTACGGATGCACGAACACCACACACCACAGACACAGTCCAGGAGTACGTGTGTGGGTGCCACTTATGTGCGTGTGAGGGTACGTGGTGAGTGCCGTTGAGCAGGCCGTTCTGGTCAGTGATGGTCTTGGAGCCAGGGGCGGTCGTGTTGTCGGCTGTGGTGTCCACGGCCACTGTCGTGTCGTTGGTCTGCTGCTTCTTGCTGGCGTCATTCTTGCTCGCCCTGACGCTCTCGAGGAGCGAGTCGATTGTCTTCTTGCCGTCGCCCAGCAGCATGGCGTTGTTGGGGTACACGAACAGGGGGTTGTCGACTGGGGGGAGGGAGGGACATGTCCATGTGTGTGCATTCATTGAGTTGTGTTGTGTTGTGTTGTGTTGTTGTGTTATGCAGTGAGTGCGCACCTCCCGCATAGCCGGACGCAAGAGACCGCTTCATTACCACACACTGCAGTAAGATCCACCCACCATACCATACACACCACACGCCATAACACACTCGCGATTGTGTGTGTGTGTGTGTGTGTTGTGTGTGTGTGTGGCTGACCTGTTTTGCCTTCCAGACTTCGAGTACGGGCATGCCGTAGATGGCGGAGCTCTCGTCCGTCTGGGCCGCGGGGTTCACAGTGTCGTTGGCCCCTATCACCAACACCTGCACCCACCAACAACCCGATGGCCCACACCTCAGTCAACAGCCGGCCGTGTGGTGTTTAGTGGGCCGTGTGGTGGATTGGAGGCACGTACCAGGTCGGTGTCCGGGAAGTCGTGGTTGATTTCGTCCATCGACAGCACTATGTCGTACGGCACACTCGCTGCACGTCCACACATGACACACACATGGGAGCAAGTGCATCCACGTCCACAGTCTCATAGATCTCTGCCCGCCTGCCTGCCTGTCCTTCGCACCTTCGGCAAGCAGCACATTCATGTGGCCGGGCAGACGACTGATCACACACCAACCAACGGACAGTCAGCAGCCCTCTTGCATCAGACAGATTCCCTTCACCATTCGCTCACCCAGCGACCGGATGGATGCCGAACCTGACTTTGACGCCTTTAGCCCTGAGCTCCTTGGTGAGCTCCGCCACCGAGTGCTGTGCGCGCGAGACGGCCATGCCGTATCCCGGCGTGATAATGACGGACCGTGCCTCGAGCATCCACTTGGTGACCTGGTCGACAGTCGTCTGTGTGACCTCCCCCTCCACCTTGGTGCCGCCCGCCGTCTTGCCCATGTCGCCGAAGCCGCCCACCAACACGTTGTAGATGGACCGGTTCATCGCCTCGCACATGACATACGACAGGATAATGCCGCTGCACACACACACATGGCGGTGCGGTCTGTTCTGTGTGTCTGTCTTTGTTTCTTTCTGGTGTGGTGTGGCCTGGCCTGACCTCGCCCCGACGAAGGCGCCGGCGATGACCATGAGGTTGTTGCTGATCATGAAGCCGGCGAACACCCCGGCCCAGCCACTGCCGCTGTTGAGCACCGATATCACCACGGGCATGTCCGCACCACCGATGGCCATCACAAAAGCGACGCCATATGCGGCTGACAGACCCGTCAGCACACACAGAGCGATCAGCCCGATGGTGCTGCCGAGTCCGTAGTTGCCCGCCACGACGCCGAGTGCGATTATGGCGCCGAAAAGGAGTGGCACCCAGAGGGCACGGCCGGGCAACACACGGGGGCGGGGCTTGATGAAGCCGCTCAGCTTGGCGCAGGCCACCAGGCTGCCCGTGAACGTGACGATACCGACGATCACCTGAACCCAAAGCAGCAGACAGACAGCCGCATGTGTGTTGGTGTGTCTGTGTCTGTGTCTGTGTGTGTGTGCGGATGTGGGTGCGGCAATGACTGACCCCGAGGAGGTAGAATATGGCCTGGAAGACGATGATCTCGTTGCCCTTGTTTAGCTCCTCCTCACGGACGTCCTCGTAGCGGTCGTTGAAGAGCGCAAAGCCCTCCAAAGTGGCCGCCAGACCGCCGAAGGCATTCAACAGACCAACCTGAGCAATCCGATCCAATCCATATATCAGCACAGAGAGAGATGGTAGAGATCAACCCCTTGGTGCTGGTTTACTGTGTGTGTGCGTGGATCTCACCATTTGCGGCATGCCTGTCATCTTGACCATGAGGGCTCCGGTGACGGCAATGACGGCCGCAGGCACACAGGCGACCGCAAAGATCCAATACGCATTACCTGCGTCATGCGAACGGACAGACAGATGGACTCCAGCAATGAAAGCCCTGTTTGCAAAAGCCTTTCCTCCTCCCTCCCTGTCTGCTGCTCGTGCACCTCTCCCTCCACCCATCCCTCCACACACACATACCGAAGAGTTGGTCGCTCGCCAGCACTCCACCGATGGCCAGCAGCATACCCAGAGACCCATACTGACATAGACACACAGACAGACAGACATTGCACACACCACCAATGTGCTACGTTGGTGTCTTACGATGTTGCCCATCCTGGCGGTTTCCTGGTGAGATAAACCCCTGCAGACAGACAGCAGCCAACCAACCACACACACCGCACACACGACACGCCACGGCCAAGCAGATGTGTGTCTTGTCTTGCGCAGCCGTCCGTATGTATCCATATATCTGTCTGTCTGTCCTCACCGGAGTGCGAGGATGAACAGCAGTGCCGACCCCACATAACACACCTCCAACCACAGGTTGTCCCTGACACACACATCGCACAAGACGGCACGCAAAACACACAGGCCCATGTGTGTGCCGTGTCTGTCGGTGCCATCTGTCTGTGTCCTTTGTGCGCTTGCCTCTGTATTGAGAGGGGGACCTCGCCAGGAAACGCCTCGCTCCACACATCGTCCACAGTCGCCATCTCGACGCTCTGCTCAATGACAATGAAAGCTGCTTCTCACTATCTCTCCCACGCTGCGCTGCTACCCTCTCTTTGCTCCCGTTTCCTTGCCGTCGCAGGATGATGTCGCAGATCTGAGCGCGCAACTTTGCCCCGATCGCGCAAGAAATCTGACGATGGCTGCCGTGCGAAGGGTGTGCGGAGGGATGAGAGCAGCCCGATGAGGTAGAATTCGGAGCTTGCTGAAGATGGCACGTTCTCGGAGTCGCCCCGACATCCACTGGCAGGAGTCAGTGCAAGCGCCGCGTGAGTGAGTCCGTCATCTGGGATGGCGTCATCAGCGTCCTCATCTCGAGCGGCGCCGCACCACGAGAAGGTCTTCATCGACGACCTCGCCCTGTCCGACCTCACCGACGCGCAGCAGCGGCAGCTGGCGAGCCTCGCGCCCCGCAAGGCATCCCAGCGGATCCAGCGCACCAACAGCAGGCACGCACATGAGCTGGTGCTCGAGCGGGTGGACGACCCTGCCGACGCTTCGCTCGTCGTCTGTGCGACCTTCCATCCCGGGGCAGAGGGCTTCCAGAACTATATCCAGTGGCGACAGCGGTGCCCCACAGCCAAGTTCTGCCGTGTTCAGTATCTCGCCCGACTCATCGACCACAAGAAATGGATCCCGCCACCGCACTGGGCGGCTATTGGTGGTGGTGGTGCTGGTGATGTGTTGCCCAAGTACCACAGCCTCATCGACCTCATCCTGCCCACATCAGATGACGACTCCGTGCGGCCATTCATCCTGGCGAGTGCGTCGGACGAGCGGACTCAGGCCAAGCACCTGGTGATGCTGCTGGGCGGGCGGCCGCTGATGGACACCGACATGGATGCCGACGTGGGGAGTGCGACACACTTGGTGTGCAATAGCGTGATGATGCCGCCGGCTGCCGGGGCGGAGGTGTATGCGGGTGCGAGGGAGAGGGGGCTGCCCATCGTGAGCAGTGGGTGGCTGGAAGACATGGTCAAGAAGGAATGGTATATGTGTGAGCCAGAAGAAACAAACCACTTGGCGACATGGTCATGTTCCCTTGTTTGATTGCTGTCGTTGAAACCGTGTGCAGCTATCTTCCTGACATTTCGCCGTATCGCCTGCCGCCGTTCAAGGGCCTGTCGATAGCCATCCTCCCATCAGCCATCCGCAACCAACAGACCCGCCGCGAGTGCGAGAGGGCCATCACGGACAATGGCGGCCGCGTGCTGGACAAGCTGTCGCCCAACGACCTGGCCAGCCGCGTATCGTGTGTGGTGGTGGACTGCACCGACAACCCCATTCTGGAGGCCCTCAGGCACCCGAGGCACTCGCATCTGCGAACGGTCGGTGTGCGGTGGGTGAAGGCCAGCGTGGAGGCCGGCTACCCCATGAGCTACGACGGTGAGGGCATGGGTGTGGCTGAGCCGGCGTGGAAGAGATACCAGGAGGACGCCGAGGTCATGATACCCACAGACGACCAGGAATGCGGCACGTGGCTCATCAGTCAGTGAGTGCACGCCACACAAAACGCCACGGTGTTTCCTCTCACCGTTCTATGTGTCTGATGGATGGCACATGCACTCAGGTACGGTGGTGTGTCTGACTCACCTTCCGCCGGCGGTGCAGCACTACCACAAGATCCTGGTACACAAGGGCGGCGGCATGCTCGCCTTCGGATACGACGACCCCGCCATCACACACGTCCTCGTCGACCCATCCCAGCCCTCCAACTCCCTCCCATCCACTCTCACAGCAGGCTCCACCGGCCTCCTGCCGCCCTACTTCGTCACGCCCTCATGGCTGGACACCTCGAACGATCAAAAGCAGGCGGCAGACGTGGGGCTCTTCGCAGCCAAGGTGGATCGCGGCAGGAGCGTCCCGCAGCCGCCGGCGACGCCATCGCAGCCCCCCGCCCCATTCTTCATGCTGACGAATGGCAACGCCGGTGCGCCGCCGCCCGCGCCGGCGTTCCCCCAGAACCACCCAGCCCCTCCCCCCTCCCTGAGTCGACAACCGACAGACATGAATGACGGTGGCCAGCCTGACGCCCCCTTGGCCCCGCCCGCTCCCTTTCCGTTCCCCCCTCCCGTCCCGCCGTTGACCAACCCCAGCAACAACCACAACGCCAATCGCAACAGGAAGCGCAAGAACGACACGCGCCAGAAGCCGCCCACGCGGGGATGGGGACAGCAGAATGACAGCAGGTACAAGAAGCTGGACGTCTTCTCACAGAGGAACACCGGCAACCAGCCGCAGCCACCACCACCACCACCTGGACCACCGCCACAACGATCGGCCGCTCCCCATCCGTCCCGTCGCCCCCCCGCCCTGCCGCCCCTCAACTTGAGGGTCAAGCAAGAGACCGGCCAGCCGGCAGCGGCAGCAGCGGCTGTCCCGCCGCCTGCTTTTGAGCCGATCGTTCATGTGAAGAGGGAGGACGAGAGCGAGATGGGCCAGGAGGACGCATACAGCATGCACGCAGAGGCGGCGGCCGGCATGCAGGAGGGGTATGAGGGCTATGCGGACCAGGGAGGCATGGGAGAGGGGGCGGTTGAGGGTGAGGGTGAAATGGCCGCTGCCGATGGTGACGGTGGTGGTGTGGGTGAGGACGGCATGCCGTCAGGGGAGCGGGTGTGCACCAAGAAGATCGGCGGGCTGCTGCAGGGCAAGTGGCTCGCCTTCCTGGGATTCAGTGACGACAAGACGGAGAACCTCGCTAACTGCATAACAACAGCTGAACGGGTGAGCACAGCACTGGATGGAACAGCAGCAGCCCAAGCAACCCCTAATCTCTCTCTCTTTGTCTGTGCGTGTGGTTGTGTCAGTTGGGGGCGTCGATGGTGTGGGGCGAGGCGGTGGCCCGTCGGGATCCGTCTGATATAGCCTACTACGTGCTGCGTCACGATCAGGGCTACCGCGCCATGGACCGCTACGGCATCCCCGAGATGCCCGAGAAGCAGGTGACCCTCCTGTTCCTCTACACGTGCTGGACCCACAGGCGACTGCTCGACCTCAACATCTCGCCCATCTTCAGCCCCAACCGCTACTTCACCCCTGGGGGCGACAACGGCCCCCTGCGAGGCCTCCGCGTGTCGATATCGGGGTTCGGATGGCGGCCAGAGGGGGCCAGTATGGACCAGGTCCCCCTCAAGAAGGGCGACCGTGAGTTGGTGCGCATGATGGTGAAGGGCATGGGAGCGAAGGAGGTGGAGCTGAGCAGTGGCGGGGACAAGCCGTATGCCTTGGTGGTGGGCGACGAGCGGCCCAACCCCGCCAAGATGCTGTCGGCCAAGAGGAGGGACATTCTTGTGCTCAAGTATGAGTGGCTAGAGGAGTGCTGGACATATGTAAGCCTGCCTGCCATAGGGGACAACGGCGGGTGGGTCGCAGACACATGGGCTGTGTTTTTGTGTTCATGGTGTGGGCTGGGCTGGCAGGGTCGTTTGGTGGTGGGAATCGGCCGCACCCCTGGTCACTTGGGCGAGGTGGTGTGTGATGCCTGCGCGGAAGCCGAGGACGACACAAGTGAGGCGGACGACCCGAGCAGTGACGATGAGGAGAGAGCAGTGACCAGGAGGGCGAGGGCAGCGACGGTGAGAAGGCATGTGTGTGTATCGCTGCCTACATTTTATATTTCATGGCGGTTGGATTGGATTGCTGGTATGATGGGCTGGTTTATGCGGGGGCGAGAGAGACACGGCGTATGATAGTGCAACCTTGCCTTCGGCTGGTGGAAAAAATTGATGAATCAATTCGTCCGTCTGTCCCGCGTAGCACCAAGACGCTCACCATTCTCACACGTACACACACAGACACAGACAGACAGACAGACAGAGGAACAACGAAAGTCACATCAGCGGAGTGAGAGAGGATGGGTGGGTGGGTGGATGGATGGATGCCTTCCATGAATCGGTCGTCTACTCACTCACTCGCTCGCCTGTCCTTTGTGTGTATGTATGGAGTCGACGACGTGTCGTCGACATAATGCTCCCATACCCAGGCGCATGCACGCACACAGACACACAGACACACAGACACAGACACACCACTGGCCGATTGTGTGTGGGTGTGGGTGCATGCGCTTCGTTATCCAAAGAACCCGATTATACACCCTCCCTCACCACCCTCGCCACGCAGAAACGAAACTCGAGACACGACCAGCCAGCTAGGCCACGTTCTCCTCTGCCTCTGGCTGCTCGGCCTCATTGTCCGTCTCGCCATCACCATGCTCCCCCTCTCCCTGCTGCTGCTGCTGCTGCTGGCCGTGCCCGTGCACACCCAAGGGCAGGACACTGGCGAGTATCTCCTGGATGAATGCCTGGATGGCCCTCTCCACGTCAGACAGGTGGAAGAGCAGGTACACCCCGTCCTTGCTGCTCACGGCCTCCTCCAGCAGCGTGTCGATGGACTCGATCACGTCCTCAGCGTCGGAAGAGCCGTCAGCGTCGGTGCCTTCTGCTGCTGCCTCGTCTCCTGTTGCCGCCGCCGCTGCTGCCGCTGCTGGTGCTTGTGGTGGTGGTGGTGCGGTCGTTGGCTCAGGCTTCGTGAGGTTCTTGCGCAGCTGCTCGAGTGTCTTTGGGGCATCGAAGCGGAAGAGCTTGAGCGCCCTGTCGGGCGTCTCCGCCACGGGCTGCCCCGCTGTCTTGCAGGCCCTCATGAGGCGGTCTGTCGCCCTGGAGAGGCAGCGGCTGGCCTTGAGCTCGGTCTGCGTGACCGTCACCAGTGGGAGCCCTTTCTCCTCCTCGTCGAAGAAGGCCTCGATGGCCTCCCACGCCTGCTCCGACCGGCCATAGAGATACGACAGCTTCCTCGCGAAGCACATCCTTCGGTACCTACATGGTTGAGTCATGAACACACACACACACAGAAGGGGTGAATGGATGAGCTGTCTGTCGATGGTGTGCTGTGCAGGGGCTTGTCTGTTACAGTGTTGCGGTTCTGGGTTTCTCCTTTTCCGGCTGCACGTCAAGAATGTCGAGCTCCTCCGACCTCCAAAAGCAATACTCATTGGAGGTGAGCATGTGAGCGTACGGGTGCAGCATCTTGCACGTCTCGGAGAGGCAGAGCATTGACGGCGTGTCGAGGAGGGGCAGGATGGCCGTCAGCGTGTCGCCGTACAGTGGGGTGTCGCCGAGCGACTTGTTGGGGGTCCGATGGTCCCGCAGCTTGCAGCTCACGTGAGCCTCGAACCTGCAGCACACACACGCAGATCCATCGGGGGAACGACACTTGGACAATTATCAACTACAGGGTGCGTGTGGGTGGCTGTGGGTGCGGTGCGCACCTGTTGAGTCCCCTGTATGTGATCCTGGCCTGTGGCAGCGGCGTGCGCAGCACCAGCCGACCGTCAACGACGGCAGCTGACATGTCGAAGGCGTGGCTGAAGATCACCCACTCGGGTAGCGCGTCAGGCTGCTCCTTGAGCACGGACAGCACATCCACCGTGGGGCCGTTGTCCCACTCAGGGATGTCCTCCTCCTCGTCCTCCTCGTCGTCATCATCCGCTGATCCAGCCTGCAGGGTGGCATTCTCGACGAGCGACCTCACCCAAACGCTCTCGATGCTCTCGACACTATCGGGATCTCTGCACACAGACGCGTACACATCAACACAGCAGCCGTCCGTTGTTTGTGCGTACGGGGGCTTCCGTGAGTATGATTGTGTGAGCGTGAGTGTTGGCTCACTCACTCGAGCAGGTGCTCTATGAGCGCCTCCTCCAGGCCTTTCGGTGCGGTGCTGGCCTTGAGCACCTGCACCAGCTGGAGGGGATAGGTGAAGCTCATGGACTCACTGGCGACCGATGTTGGTGCGGCAAGCACACAGCCAACCGCCTGAATCACACAGCAACCACCACGAATGATGCACATCTGCGTGTTTCCGCGTGGGGTCGTGTCAGCGTCCGTACCGATCAGAATGCGCCTTTCAAAGGGCGGTGCCTGCTTCCCATTCTCAAAGAAAACCCGAGAAGACTCTGCGCAGGCTTAGCTCGCAGATCTTTCGTAGCTCGCCTTGACCGTTCGTTCCTACATAAGGGGACAGCGGCCTCAGCAGCATGGAATTGCAAGTGAGCAAAGAGAAAACAAGGAGGAAAAGAAGTGAAGTGATCTGCGTGTGTTTGTCGGTCAGGTGACATGGATAGTGGCGGCGCTGATTGCGGTTGCCCTGCTGGTCATTGCGGTGATGGCAACAGCCACCAAGGGAGCGGCCAAGGCCAAGGACAAATCATCCTCTGGGCAGAGAAAGGCTAAAGCAGGGTCAGTCAGCGGAGTGGCTGGACGGGTGTGGTGTGCTGTGTGGGCACCATGAGCTGGTTTGTGTCTGTGCGTTGGATGCATCAGGCCGCCCAGCTTCTCCCGGCGGAACAAATTCGATTGACGCAGGCATTGGGCTGGCTACCGACGAAGGTGTCTGACCGGCAAGCGGCAATGTGTTCATGTGGCTGCTTTCTGTCTAATCCCATCCCATCCCGCCCCCTCTCCGCTTCCCTTCCCCTTCCCCTGTGTGCATAGCTAAGACGAGATGAGTGCGTGAGTGCCCCTCCCTCCCTCCCTCCCTCCGTGTCCGTCCCTTTATGAGTCAATCAATTACTGAATGGTGACCCCTGACTGACTGACTGATTCATTGATCCATGTGACTGTCAAACCGTTATGTGTGCCCTTGGATGGGCTGAATGGCGAGATGCAATTGGACTGACACGTTCATACGTAGCGAGTAAGTGAATGGCGCCTGGCACGTGGCGTCAACCAATCGGGTCTACAGACCACACACAAACACATGGCCAGCCAGCCAGCCAGCCATCACTGCACTGCCGGCCTACCTACTCCTCTATAGTGTCCTAGCTACCTCGCCGCGCTGCCTGTCGACAGCAGACAGGCACTCGATCAATGAGTCAATCAATCAGTGAGTGGATAAATGCAATCAATGCACGGACGGACGGACGCTTAAATGACTCCCTCTCTCTCTCACACGCATCCCCTCCATGTGCATCCATCGCATACATCGAATCGATCTGCCTTTAAAGACCACCACAAACCAAACCACCCACCATCCATGCCATCCATGTACACGCAACACGACACACCACACCCTGCCTGCCTGCCCGCATGGCATGGCATGGATCTGCTCGCTCATGATTTGCCGGTCTGCATTGGTATTCTCTTGAGCTTCTTGTCCTGGAAGTCCCGCACAAACTGCCGCACGCTCGAAGCGTCCACGGGCTGAGTCGCCACGTAATAGGCCTCGTCTGGGATGTCCAGGATGATCATGTTGGGGGCCTCCTTGCTGGCCGCTGCATCTGCAGCAGATGCCTTGCCGGCACGGTCCAACACCACCTCCAGCTTGCACAGATTGCGGAGGGCAACCGACCTGGCAGACAATAAATATTGCACAGCACGCCCAGATGATGTGTATCTGAGTTTGGTACGTGGCGCTGCTCGGTGGGTCGAGTACCTCGGGCTGACATTGGTGGCAGTGAATATGGCCACTTGCTGCTCCTTCGGCAGTGCCTCCTGCTCCTTCGCAAGAGCCTCGAGGGACGACTCCAGCTGCAACACACACACGTCCAGCCCAGCCCAATCATATCACGGACCGATGAATCGATGACTGACTGCACAATCCTCCCTGCCTGGCTGTTTGTTCGCGTGTGTATCCGTCACTCGATCACCTCTCGTTGCTTCTTGGGTTCTGACGCCTCCATGAAGACGACGAGCGACGGGTAGTCGGTCATCTTCTCGGTGTTTTCTGCCAGGTCTGTGACAGGTTTGGGCCGCCAGGGGAACTTCTTGCCCTGTGGGTCGCTGGCCAGCAGTGCCCTGCCCTGTTTGGTGATGATCTGCCGGTTCTCGTCCAGCAGCACCAGTGTGGGCAGCGAGGCCACCTCTAGCTCGCTCTGCAGCAGCGAGCGGCGCTTCGAGTCGCCGTATGGGATGGCCAGCCACGGCATGGAGCTGCCGAAGTACTCGTAGAACTTGCTGGCGTCCTCGTCATTCGACACGAAGATGACCTCGAAGTCCTTGCCCTCCTCCTTGAACCGCTTGTAGGCCTCGGCCAGGACGGGCGTGAACTGCTTGCAGGGCGGGCACCAGTTGGCTGAGAAGTAGAGCCCCACCACCTTGCCGCTGAGTTGGTTGGCCGACACCGTCCTGTTGCTTGGGTCGATGAAGTCGGTTCCCACAAGCTGGGAGAGCGGCTTGGGCTCCCATGGGAAGCCCTCAGGGTCCATGAGCATGGCGTTGTAGCCCCGCTTGTTGATGACCTGTCCGGCCTCGTCGATGAGTACCACCGATGGCATCTGCCGCAGCCGGAACTTCTGCATGAGCTTCTTGGGCGTCACCCGGTCGTCGAAGGGCAGGGCGTACCATGGCATGGAGGCGAAGTGCTCCCGGCGGGCGGTGCGGTCGCTGTCCATGGGGACATAGACCACCTCGAACTCCCGCCCCTGCTCCTGGCACTGACGGTAGATGCGCTGCAGACGCGGACGGAACACCGCGTAGTTGCCGCTCGCCAGCAGGTCCTCCAGACCTTTCCCGTCGAAGTAAAGGGCCACCACCTTGTTGCTCAGCACATCGCCCGCCGCAACCTTCTTGATGCGCGGCATCCGACCACCTTCAGCTCGCCCCTCCCCTCCCTTGTCGTTCTTGTACAGCACGTGCCCGAGCAGATCTGTCACTGGGGTCGCCGGCCGCTCGAACTGCTTCATTGCGCGATACCTCAGCCACCTTCTCAGCCGCCGCACGCCATAGGTGCCCGCCACGATGACGGTGCCGCCGCCCACCACCTTTGCCGCGTCAGAGGTAAGCACGTCGCTGAGTGCGTCACGGACGGACCACTTTTCCTCCTCATCTCGCTGCTGTCTGCGGGGAGCGCGGGATGATTTGCCGATGCCGCGCTTCGGCACGTCGCTGCCGTTGACTCGCGCGCATGACACGATGTCCAGAGTGAGAACAGCAATCACCAACACCTTCAGCCATTCCACCCATCTCAGGGGCACCCACCGTCTGTTGTCCATGAGTAGATCTGGCGCTCTGGAGAGATTCTCCGGAGATTGCGAGCTGGACCTTTGCGTTACACGGAACTATACTCGTCGCAGTATCCACCTTATTTGCGCGCACACATGTAGACAGACACAGAGACACAACCACAAGCCAGCAAACGATCAGTTCAGAAGCCGCGCCGTCATCGTCCATCCATCCATCCATCCAAAAAGACAAAGAAAAATGCCCTTGGACGGTCGATCGATCATGCATTCCATCGCCGCTATATAGCCTTCGCGTCATACGGCACTGGCACTCCCGGCCAGCGCCTGCGTGTCGCGCGCATCGACGCCCTTCACCTCCCCGCCTTGCTGCTGCTCCATCCCCTTGTTAATTGCAGCGTACCAGCTGGATCGGCCGATGACTCGTATGTCGCAGGGCGGCAGCTGATCTGCCTGGGCGTCGTCGGCTGTCTTGCTGCCCTCAGACATTGCCGTCCCCTCCGATACTTTTCTTGGCGGCTTTGCTGCGCTCCTGTGTGCGGGGATGTTCATGTCGCAGTGCATGTCGTGCAGCGTGTCGTAGAAGGGCTTGCCCAGCGTGTCGGGCAGCCCAATGAAACCTGCAATAAATCGAAAGAGACACATATGACTTCCTTGGTGCTGCACGTTCCCCCCATGCACCTGTGACGCCAGCAATCGTCGCCGTGAGGCCGAATATGAGGCTGGGAAGGCCGGGCGAAGCCACGCCTAGCGAGATGACTTGCGGGGCGGCAATGCCTGCACGCAACCAAACCAACAAGGGGACACACATGCAAGAGACACAAGGACATGCACAGGCAGGTTGTAAGTCTGAACCTAAGGATGCCCACCCACCTGCGACACGCGCTGCCGTGCTCATCATGCCCGTGGCCGTGCTCCTCACTGCACCAACACATATTTTGAATGGATAGGCTTGTCCATTGCTTCGATCGGTCGTTGCTTACATGAGGCTGGGAACATCTCGGCGGCATACAGGTAAATGCCGGCAAACGTCATGGACACGGAAAACCGCCCAAGCAGCGCCACGACCATAAGTCCCCATCCCCCGGGGCCCGCCAGCATGGCGCATCCCAGACAAAGGAGCCCCCCGAGGAGCAGTGAGCCGTTGACCACACCTTTTCTGCCGCCCAGTCGCCTCCAAGCCACGGCTTTCACGCCGAGTATGACGGCGGGCACCTCACACGCGCCGTTGATGAATGTGGTTATCTGGCTGGTGGGTCCGATTCTGCCCGCAGAAAGTGAGAGCCCGTAGTAGGCCATCGAGGTTGCGAACCAGGTCAGTAAGCTGACGTAGAGCCGCTCGGCGACGGGCTGCACCGTCAAAAGGCTCCAGACAGATGATTCGCGGCCGGAGGGACGGGTGGGATGGGTGGAAGATGGCTCGCCTAGCGATGACGCTGTGGTGGCGTGGGCAATGGTGGTGGTGGTGCTGCTGCTGCGGCGGATACTGCTGCCCCTGGTGTTGTTGAGAAGGGAGGGCAGTGAAGCTGGCGAGACATGGGGCGGGAGGGATGTGCCGTTAATGCGGGCCATCGTGCAGAGGGCATCATACGCTTTGGCGTATCTCTTGGTCGCCGCCGCCCATCTGGGTGACTCCACAAACAGCGGACAAAGCAGCAACAGAGCCAGCAGGAACCCCGGCAAAGAGACAGCCAGTGTGAGCCACCGCCAAGACAATATGAAGTAGGACATCACCGCGACCAGGCAGCCCCCGACAGCGAATCCACAGTGGGTGAGAATGGTGATGAATAGCCGCTTGTCCGCACACACAACCTCGCTGTTGAGGATATAGACGCTCAAGCCGAGCCCGCCGATGCCAATCCCAGTCCCGGCACGCAGGACGACGTAAGCGACGAAGGACCGGGCGACGGCAGATCCGACCCCACAGAAGGTGACGAAGGCCAGCGACACGATATACGCGGGTTTTCTTCCCAGATGGTCCGCGAGGTATCCTATGGCCAGCACGCCGATAAGGAATCCGAGGAAAAATGCGGAGGACGCCATCTGTGCGTCGTAGAACACGGAGCCCCTCCTGCTGCAGTAGCCGAGGTCCCACTCTGAGACCACAGTGGAGCGGTCCTCTGACCCATACCTGAGACACACACACAGAAAGGAGACCGCCCAGACGAGTGCATGGCGCATGCCGATCTTCTTGGTGGCTGTGCATTCCACTCTTCCAGTCACGTGAAGGTATGAGCGCAATCTGTCTGCTCGAGGATCTCTCCATGGCGACATCCCGCCGGATCGTTGGATGGATTGTGGCAGATTCTGGGCGGCTCTTCGGCCATGAATACGAGGCTGATGGCCTGTGCCCCCACCAGAATCCATGGTGGCGTGTCGATTACCCATGAGAACCCCCGCTGGAACGCGCCGTACGAACCTGATCGGCCACGAAGATCCAAAGTGACAGCAATTGTGAATGGTTTCTGCATACCAATCGCCTCAATGATGGCCTCCATCGGAAAGAGAGAGCGGTTTCTTGGCTGCGAGCTGGTCGAGACCGTCAAGAAGGTTTGGGGTTTCAGGGTTTGAGACCCAACAAACCGTTACCCTTACCCTCCCCTCCTGTTTTTCGAAGATCAGCTTGGCTATGATGAGGCTTGACGATGCGATGAGCTGACATCGGCTTATTGTCGCTTTGAGATCTCTTCGCTGAGACTCCCTGGGGATCATATGCGGCGCTCGTCCGTTTGCCTGGGCGGCAGCCTGCCGTCCGCCTGCAGGACCATCGCCCGCCACCACACACACTTGCATCATCCCGTCTTTCGGCGGCCGGCCGTCTGCTTCGCCCACACACCAGGCCACGGCTATGCTGTGGTTCAGAGGCGGTGGGGCGGCAATCTGCTGGGCGCCTTCAACGCGCCTCTTGTCATGTTCGCAGGAGGCCTCTTGTCGTTCTGGAGTTTCATGACATGGCTTTCTCGGTAAGTGGGTGGAGAGGCACATGATCCGCCTTCCGAGTGTCTGTCTGTCTGTCCATGTGTTTGTGTGTGTGATTGATCAGTATGCGTCAGATGAACATGTACTTCTCTGAAATCTACGGCTCTGGGAACGGTCCGGTCATGTATCACATCACGAAAGACGCGGAGACCGACCTCTCCCTCGCCCGCCACGTGGCCCTCTTCTTCCATGGCACACCGGGGGGCTCCAACCAGGTCAGTCTGCCAGCCAGCACGCCGCCGACACACCACACACACCACACCGGCTCTGTGTGTGTGTGTGTGGTGCAGTGGGATGCTTTTGACATAGATGCGGGCATGCCCGTGGTGACCCTGTCCCGCGGCGGGTACAACCACACGCCCCTCGAGTCGGTCGAGACCATCGCCGACCACACCAAGGTGTACCGGGAGTTGGTGGACTCCAAGGTCAGTTACGAGGCGGATTTGCACCTGATCGCTCTGGGGCTGGGGGCGCCATTCTGCCTCGACTTCGCCATGAGGAACAGAGATAGAGTCAAGTCCATGGTGCTCGTCTCGCCGCAAGTCAGGTACGGTACGCAGGTGGACGGACGGGAGTGTCAGGCAGGCGGCGGCCACAGGGCAAGACAGCACGGCTCATGTGTCACCGATATGTCATGCAGGGGTATCCATAAGATGGATCCTAAGGTGGAGGCGACGATCAACAGTCTGCTGACGACCGGCCGGCTGCCCATCGACCTGATGGAGTTCTTGACCTACCAGTCGGCACGCCTCTTCCCATACGCCGCCGCACGGGCCGTCGCCGGAATGGGCTCGCACGACGAACGCGTCAAATACTATGCCAACGAAGTGAGAATGTCATTTATTCGTTCATTCATTCTGCTATGTGGGGTTGTTGGGTGTGTTGCGTTGTGTCCATTGATTGTATCTATCAGATAGCGATCAAGATGCTGCACAGTGATCCATTCTTCCTGAGCAAGGTGACGGCCATGACGGGTTTCCAGTGGTTCAGCCATCGGATGGAGGGATTCATCAACGACCTGCGGCAGGTGCACGACACCGACCAATGGCCCGTCGAGACGCGGCACCTGCTGCGGACAATGCACTTCCCCACACTGATCATTCACTCCAACCGCGACACGGCCATAGAGTTCGGCCAGAGTGAGTATGCCGTGCAGTTCATGCCGTCCGTCAAGCTCGAGGTCATCGAGGACGCCCCACACCACATACTGATCTCACACAAGGACAGATGTGAAGACGCCATCAAGTACGGAGGGAGGACGGTGACGTCACGCTGTCCTCGTGTGAGTTATGTGTGTGTGTGTATGTGTTGTGTGCAGGACCTTCCTGTCCACTCAGTCGGTGTTCCGGCTGCCGAGCTCATGATAGGCTGATCGACGCAGGCAGTGCAGTGCAGTCGCTGGCGGCCAGTGAGCTCACCCTGCGTGGTGGGTGGATGGATGGATGGATTCATTCACTCACGGCATGCATGCCCGCAAGTAACATAACCCTTCTGGGTGCATTTGATGATATGACGCATTTAAGCGGATACACCGATGCGTCCGTCCAATGCATCAAGAGTCCTCCTTCCTACCCCAAACATACGACAAAATAAGTAATGCAAAACGTCTCGCCAAGACCCGGCCGGCTGTAACAAACACGTGGAAACATGGCTGGCTGCACGAAAGCATGCAGGGGTCATTCATCTACAGGACAACGTACGTCAACACGACAGGTGGGGGGGATGGCTACATACAATGAGTGTGTGGATGGATGGATGGAGCACACAACAGAGCGACAACAAACAACACGAGAGCATAGGACAGGACAGACACAATCAAGTCATGAACGTACACGTACACTCATTCAATCCAGCCCCATCCCTCTCCCGCCTCTGTCCCTCATTCCCTGCCTGCCTGTCTGTCTGTCAGTGCGCCCGTGCGGCCGGCCGCCTCTCCGTCTGCGTGTCGTCCCGCCTCTCTGATGCTGCCGCTGCCGCTGCCGCACCCGGCCCTTCCCTCGTGTCAGGTGCTGCGGCGGATTCGTCAGCTGATGATGAAGGGGGCTTGCGCACACCGACACCCTGCACACATATCAGAGAGAGAGTGTGTGTGTGTGTCATGCATGGATAGTGCAGTGCAGTCCAGTGGGGAATGGGATTGCGGACCAGCACCGAGCTCGGCTTGAGGCTGTCCCAGAAACTCCTCAGGGCCCTCTTGGCCTGACGCATACAACACACACAGACACACTGGCGATCCATCCGTATCTCACCAAAGCATTGGCTCATTTACTGGCGTCCGTACGTGTATGGCCTGCGCGCCGACGAAGCTGAGATTGAGATCCCTTCTGTCCACACCCCGACGAAGACACCTACACACACGCGACCATGCTCTTTCTGGTGTGTGTGTGTGTGTGTGCGTGAGTAGGTTGAGGGTACCGCTCGACGTATCCCTCATAGTCAGCGATGATCCTGGTGACCATCTCCGTCGTCGACACGCCCTCCGTCCGCTGGGTCGCCCGAAACTTTCCCTAAGATGCAGACAGAGAGGGAGGGACAGGGACACGGTTTTGGACACCCGACGTCCGTCCCCATGCCTTCCTGGCTCCCTGCCTCACCGCCTTTTTGAGCCATGCGTATATGTCATTCTCCTCCCCGCCCGCACCAGCACCGTACGGCAAATCGTCGTGGGCTGACAAATCCATTCACACACACACATCTTCACAGTTTTCACACAGAAGACCGCATGGATCTCTGTTCCTTTATTCATTCGCCAGCTCACCAACATAATCGATTCTGTGCTCCTCAAGGAACTCCTGTGCACATGAAGGTAGGTATACATGGCCACGCACACGATCGGGCAGGCAGGCAGGCAGGCAGAGAGCATGTTGATGTATCGGTTGCTTAGAAAAACATCGACGCACCTACCGGCGTGATGGTCCACGGGCATGGTGCGATGACCTCGTCGACCCACTTGAGGTGGCTCACACTCTCCGCCCTCTCGCACATCGTCATCACTGTCCTGCCCTACACACACGGCACAGCACAATTGGATGAATGAATGAGTGAATAGTCCATCCCATGTCGGTGTGTGTGCCGTGTGAGTCAGTCCTATTTATTACCTACTTTGTATTGTGCGGTTTCTTCGTCGGCTGCGATGCCTACGATGAGGTGCACTTTGGGGAAGAGCGTCTTGGCCTGCTGCAGCTGACGCATGTGGCCGATGTGAAGCATGTCATACACACCTGTTGGCGACGAACGATTCACACAGAAACACATGCGTCACGCGCATCCATACACGCAAGGGATGTTCAAACCAGACAGACATGCAGAGCACCTTTGCCATGCGCTTGCATGGCCACGCGGCGGCCGGTTGCTTACCGTCAGAATAGACTCTGACAGCCCGGTCTGGGTCAGCTGCACTATCGGACGCCTGAAAACAACTCAAACACATCGCACCAATGAATGAATGAACAGAAGGCGTAGCTGTTTCTTGCTTGCCTCCCTGCCTCCCTGCCTGCAGCCACCACACACACCTGGACCATTTCTCTCACGATGCAAGAGGCGCCGCAGTGATCCGGATGCCTTCAAAACTTGCACTCCTCCTCCAATCGAGCGCTGCCTTCAACAGAAATGGCCTTGCCACCCGTCTGATTCACTCTGGCAGCGGTCGGTCGGTCGGTTAAGGGTTTGACGAGACACCTGTCCCTAAGCGCGGCGGCTCACGTGTCCTTTCAGATCTCGTCATCCCCACAGCATCGAGGTGAGGAAGCACCCACAGACCCATGGGTCATCGAGGAAAGATGCTTTCTTTCATCTTGTTCTGGATCGCATGCCTTTCATTCATTGCAGCTCGTCTGTCGGAACCGCCCACAGCAGGCCCAACCAGAAGGCGATGGCCGGCAGCCTCACTCACGAGTGTGCTGGGATGATGCATGGATTTCTGCAGCGTTTCCGTGTTGCTGGGCTGCGGCAGACACACACACTCCTGACCCCTATAAGTATAAGTGCTTAACACACACACAAAGACACACACAAGTCTCCCAAGAGTCTGTCATGAAGAATGAAAAATCCTCAGCACACATACGGACATGCACAGCACACATACGTAGTGCTCCCGAGCAGGCTGAAAGGCCGGCAGTGTCTAGCAGATAGTACAGATAGATACACGTCTTATCTCATGAATTAAACGCCTTACAGTACGCACATGCCCACCCGTCTCACGCCAGCCCCCCGGACACTCACTCTTGCGGAAAAGAATCCATAAAAAAGCGCTTGATTGAGTGTATGTTATGTGCCATCGGACCATTCGCCCGTACACACTCTCAGCAAGCCAGCCAGCCACGTGGGTAGGTTCATTTGGTGGGTGGTGTGGTGAGTTTCTTGGCCTCTTGTATGAGTGTGTGGACCACCTGGTCGCCCCCCTCGCCAAGAGTCGACAGGTCACCCAGACTGTCGGTCTCGGAGGCGGCTATTTTGCGCAGCAACCGACGGATTATCTTGCCGCTGCGCGTCTTGGGCAATGTGGGCGTGATCAATCTGAACATGCACACACACACACACACACAAAACACAGAGAGAGAAAGAGAGAGAGAGATCCGTGTGTGTGGTCTGGGGGAAGGTGCAAGTACATGTAGTCAGGTGTGGCGATTGGTCCGATCTCTTTGCGCACGATGTCGCGCAGCTCCTTGGTCGTCCCGGCGTGCACCTCATAGTCACCCTGATGCACACACACACAAAAGGCATCCATCCATCCATCCATCGGGCCCGCCCGCCCTCCCCCTTGTCGGTGCGTACGTTCATGGTGACGAAGCAGAAGAGTCCGGTGCCCTTGACGCTGTGTGGGTAGCCGACGACGGCAGCCTCTGAGCAGCCCTTGTGCTGCACCAGTGCGTGTTCGACCTCTGCACTGCCCAGCCGGTGGCCGCTGACATTGATGGTGTCGTCCACACGGCCGGTGATCCAGTAGTAGCCGTCCTTGTCGCGCACACACCCGTCGCCCGTGAAGTAGTAGCCCGGGTAGGGGCGCAGGTACACGTTCAGCAGCCGCTCGTGGTCGCCATACACCGTCCGCATCATACCTATACACACGCACACACACAGAAAGAACAAACAGACAGAGAGAGAGAGCGTGTGTGTAGGGGCAGGGGGGAGGGTGTTCCTTCCCCCCTGGCTCGCTCACCAGGCCAGGGCCTTCTGAAGCAGAGGACGCCGTTGACGTTGTTGCCATGCAGCGGCTTGCCGGTCTTACTGTCCAGGATCACCGGCTCCACACCGAAAAACGGACGCTGGGGCACCGACCAATTATCCACACACACACACACACAGTGACGATTCTTACACGAGTGCAGGACGCGTCTGTGTGTTGTGTTGTGTGTGTGCCTACCGTTGCCGAGCCTGGTTTGCATTTGATGGCGCCGGGCAGAGGCGTCAGCATGTGACCACCTGAGGATACACACACAAAGGGTTTAGGAGCTGTCCGTCTGGTGTGTCTGTTGGAAACTGTTTTCCCACACCCTCGCACACGTACCTGTTTCGGTTTGCCAGTATGTGTCGACGATGTCACAGCGACTCTTGCCAACCACCTCGTAGTACCTGCGCGTGTGGGCGCACACACACACACACACACCACAGACAGATGGCCATTCTCGCAATGGATTCGAGTGTGTGTGTGTGTGTGTATGTGTGTGTGTGTATGTGTGTGTATGTGCGTACCACCTCCACGCTTCGGGACTGTCGGCGATGATACACACACACACACACACAAATGACGGCACACATTGGAATGAGGTGGGTTGCCATGAGGCACATATAGGCACATCACACGTGGGTACTTGATGGGCTCTCCGACGGTGCCCAGGACCCGCAGGCTCGACAGGTCATGGTTCTCCACCCACTCAGTGCCGTGAATCATCAACGCCCTGCACAGACAGACACCACACCATAGCAACAGCAACAGCACCAAACATCCGTCGACACACACATGAGCAGACGAGCAGACCGCTTCAGGTCACCCACCTGATGGCCGTCGGTGCCGTGTAGAACTGAGACACACGCCACCGCTCACACAACTGCCTGCACCCATGCACACGACATGTCCACAGCAACATGACACACAAAAATCCCCCACACACGTGTGCAATACCTCACCAGTATCTCGATGGGTTCGGGTGCATGGGCACACTCTCGAACACCACGGTGGTGGCGCCGTTGCAGAGCGGCCCGTACACGATGTAGGAGTGCCCCGTGATCCACCCGACGTCAGCCACACAGGCGTGGATGTCGCCAGGGTGGAAGTCAAACACTGATGGATGGACCACACACATATACACCTCACAGTCGTCCATCCATGAGTGTTTGGCATGTGTGTCGGTGTGCAGACAGACAGAGACAGAGACAGACGTAGGTACCTACCTACCGTATTTGAACGTGAGTGCCGTGTAGAGGAGGTAGCCGGCCGACGAGTGAGCGATACCCTGGTCACATACACGGGATGTGTGTTGTGTCAGCACACATGGACGGATGCCGTGCGTGTGCACCACCGCCCACCCAACCTGGGTACCCACCTTGGGTTTGCCAGTGGAGCCCGACGTGTACAGCTGATCGAAGCAATCCATCCACACACACACAG